CCTGCCGCCAGAGGTAAGGTCCAAAAGCCCGCTCTGATTACCTTTACTCTACCTACAGTGCTCGGATGGTCGTGGTGAGGTGACCGTCGTGGTGGCTGCGGGTAGGTACGTAGGTAGCGATGGGGACTGAGGTGCCATGCAGTGCCCACTGTTGAAGAAGCGGTCCGGGCTCTTTGTGTGTTCGGCCGGTGCCCACCCACCCCCCTCCTTTGTTATCCCTGTTCATCTACTCTTTTATTCGATTTTCTGGGAATTTATTTTATTCTGATTATTTTTTTGGCCGTGGTTCGCTCTCCTTTTGTCCCACCCGTGGCGCTTATCCTAAACAGCTGTAGTAGCGGGGCCACAAGACCAGGGGTCCTTTATCCTCCCGCCTCGTCTGTCTTTCTTTGTCGTCTTGGCATTCACACATTTTTGGACCTTGCTGTTGGAATCGGGTCCTCACCAGCAGTAAGTAGTATCTATCGCTGGGACAGGAAACAGCAACAAAGGCGCAGACACGGCTCACAAACGAGTCTATTCAGCTGGCCGAAATACTGATGGAACGCCGCCTGGCTTCAACAGACCTGCCGTCGCTGTCACATCCACCGTCATAGTCGCCGACACAGCCATGGCCACGGCCAACGGCACCGTCCGCTGCCTGACCTGACTATGCAACGACGGGCGAGAGCCCATGCACGTAAACGACAACAAGCTGAGACAGCGATAGGACATGAAGCTATTGCTTCGCCGGTCTGCAGGCCCAGGCTCCTAGCTCTCAACCAAGATGCCCAAGAACAGGATGAGTGCTGTAACTGGGACCAGAACAGGCATCAAAAGACGAGCCAGACAAACTTGCGCCGAGTTCTCCGAGCCGCTCAATCATGATCCTTCGCGCGCAGCCTGGGACTCATGGTGGTCGAGTCAAATTGCAGACCATGACGAGGCCGCTATCCGATCGACGGAGAGCGGCGTCAAGCCGACTCGCCGACGTATCATGGGCAGCCCACCTAGGCTGTGCCTCCACCACTCAAGGCTATTCGCTGCCGCCGTCATCCGTATTCGACGGGGTCAAGTCAATCAAGTTGTCCTTAGGCCTCTCCGTTCCAATGACGGGAATAGATATTCTCCTTCTACATTGCATCGTCCCGGTCACCCCCAAGTTTCCACTGGCGCCTGCGACCACAGAGCAATCACGCCGAGATGACCGCCTACAGGATTCAATAGTCGACAACCTGCTAAGACATTGCTGGCGGGCTAGGCATTGGCAAGCCTTGGTAGAATAGGCGGAAACACGACATGGTGACGTCCGTCGAGATAACGGCCTCCTCGCTGGTGCAGAGTCCAATTTCCCGTCACCAACGAAAATCTGCCAAACTTGGTTGTCCGTCGCAGATACGGGCCACACTTGGAGAGCAGGTGCAGTGCAAGTGCGAGTGTAAAGCGCATCGAGGTGCGGGCTTGCGGGGTTTCTGGGTGCCCGCTTTCCTTGAACAGGAATGCGGAACGTACGCGAGCTGCCAAGAGCGGGTGAGGGGCTGCCCAGGTACGTACGGGAATGAACAGGAAAAACGGAACACTGTCGGGAAGGAGATCATCAGGTACCTGAACGCAACGGAGCGTGCTTTCCTCGTGGCCTCGCGTTTGACCACCACTGGGCCACCCGTCGCCCCTTCTCCCCTGTCCTAGCGGGGCCCTTAAAGCGGCAAGGACCCTCGACCTAGTATGGCCTTTCGGGCGGCGCGAACAGGGGTTCGTCCAGAAGGGAGCCCCCACCCATCCGCTCCGTGCTTACCGGGCGGGCGGGGTTGTCGCTATTGTTCGAATCTGCTACCAAAGCCTACCTGCCACCAAAAGCAGTAGTCTGAATTCTCAGTCAACGGCGTCCCAAGTGGCCATCTAGAATCATCTCCACCTCTGCCTTGCGGCGTAACGGTGAGCCGAACCTTTGTGCAATTTGGATGAGAACCGCCCCTATCTCAGCCCTACTCCTCCTCAGCAGAAGTCTCCGAACAGCCTACAAGCTCGCTGATCTGCCGACATGGCTCTGTCGTATACCCCCTTCTGTGCGTAGCGCGTGCACGTCCTCACCCTGTACTGGTACTCGCGACAACGTGAACTGGATCAAGCGGCACGTTCACATCCACCGACAAGACTCTGGATCTCCCAAGGTGTCTGCATTGGTGTGCCATGGTGCTTGACTGGCCGCATGAAGAGCAAACATCCCTAAGCACGGCATCCCAGGTCATTGGGTCGACCAGCAGACCATGACAATGGAATTGGCTTCACCCAAGACACCCCCCGTGTCTCTGATCTAGCCTGGGGCGCTATTTCAAACAAAGACGACCCGCGCATGCTATAGGCCGGCGTCATCAGATCTTGACAAGCGTTAAAGACAACAAAGAAACTCAACGGCTGGGAAACATAACCCCTTTCCTTTGTCATGTCTCTGGAATGCGTTTCACACGATCTTCAACGGCGGCTATCTCGGCTGCTGGGAGCACTGAGACCAACATCGTCCTTGTTTCCACCGTCGCCGTTTGCGACCCAGTTTCGCTCGCTCGGTCTATGCTTTGGCACTTCTTCGAAGATTGCACAAAAAGAGGACCGTCCTCATTACTCGACCAACCGAACACCTGAATCACGAAACTTCAACGGCATACCTGGCCCACCTGTGACAACGTGGCGGTCCTATTTTCGTGCTGGGTCCATGCAGCAAAAGTTCGTATTCCCAAGGGCGGGTAGAAAGCGGAGACATCCGGATCAGCACCTTTGTACTCACATCTCTCCACCAACAATGGTCAACCACTCCACTTCTCTCATCAACCTTCCGACATCCCCCAAACCGATCCTCAAATAAAGTCTCAGATGATGGTATACATATCCTTCGAAAAGACGGATCGCATTACCCATGTACACGGCAATCCCGTGCCATCCTTGCAGAGCTGCGCTGGTCCTGTGGAGGGAATCTTCCATAGGTGTAGTAATGGTTCCCTCAGGAGTCGCGCAAACACGGCTCTTTGTTAACAACCCTGTCTAGCAAGGTCAGATTGGGCTTTTTTTTCTCGTTTTTGTTTTGGCATCCAACAGCCAGCGACGCCTTCCAGCCTTGTTTCCTCGGGACGGAATACTACCTCGCATCCAATAGTGCCGCCGCCAAGCTTTCTCTGCCTCGTGCATGCACCTTATCACACCTGACGGGAAGACGGGCCAGCTTGCGCCCGTCGAATGCCATGTCACCCTCCAGCTTCTTTGAACAAAACCTCAGCACATGGTGCAATCCCGTCTAGTGCGCTCGATCAGGTGCGTTTCTTGAGAAGCATACGAAGCCCAAACCCGGAACCGTGAACAAGCTTTTCGGCCAGCACCAGTGCCGCCTACGATACGGTGTATGTACTGGCATCTACCACTCGGGCCCTCTTGAGACTGAGATTTTTCACGACGTAATTTCCGCTCGAGCTAGGTACGTGTAGTCCAATCTTCGAGCCTCATCTGTGTCATGATCCGTCGTGGGGGTTGCTGTATAGTCATCAGGGTAAAACCGCCGTGACGTCAAAGCTGGCCTTCACCTCTCTTCAATCCTCACCTTCTGGTGGCTGGCGATGGCATAAACTCAGTTCAGACCTGCAATTCCAGACGATTCGTTGAGAAACCCTCGACAAAAGGCTTGTTAAGTTTGCCGCCAGTTCTGCTGCACGTCGTCCCATTTTAGAACTGGCATATCAAGTGCCACTGCAACCCCTTTCTCCTCTTGCGCGATCGATAACACCATGTGCAAACGCTCCAGCGCTTGGTACATGAGGCCGTGAAATGTGATCAGCTCAGGGAAAAGGCCATGCGCCACCGCTGTGGCCATGGCAAGAAAGACACGCCAGTCGACCTGTGGAGCGCAAGAGCTGACCCAGGGCGATCGTTCCTCCGCTAGATACACCAGCAAAGATCCACTGGCCGGAGGATTCGGTGCTGGCGATCTCGGAGCCTCGGGTTCAGCCGGGCGGCTGTGGAGACTGGAAAAAACAGCTCGTCAACAAACCACTTTTCGGTATCGTTCCTATGTCGTCGTCGGCTCGCAGCAGGGATGTAAAGGAGTCCCGCGCGACTCCTCTAGCTTCGTGGAGCCTATGGTACTCCACTTGAAGAACCCCCGGGATGTACTTGTACGCTTCTTCCGCTAGGCGCTTTTTCTGTGTACTGTTTACCTAAACCAACGTCATCGTCATCTCCATCACAGGGCGAGGCCATGCATCTTGCAAATCTCCCATCGCGATCACGGTCGCACTTGTTTCCTGCAACGCGGAGCTTTCTAGCCGAGCGGGACGGTACCCATCCCAGTCCTATGGGCCCGGAACCGCCAAGGATGTGAGTTGGTCTTTTCTTGATGATCCTGTCTTGGCTCGCCTTGATCTTGCACGCGACTGCCAACCTTTTGCTCAATCGGCCCGGCCCCGAGGTGGACAGGACGATATGGAGAGAGGCCTCACGGGAAACTTGATACGGTATCACCGTTCGGCGAGAGGGAATAGTCTGTCAGAACCTAGCCGCCCGGCCGCCCGCCTGCCACGCCTCACCTATCTCCCCTTGTCGTGATTCTTCTCATCAAGCACGCTCGGTTCCAGCTGCCAAGAGTCGCTGGCTAGCTGGCTCACAATCTCAGGCGACGGGCAACAATACCAAGACGACGGCTTCGTGATTAATGCCCCTGTCGTGCGCGTTGGCACGATTCCGTTAGCCCAGCCCCGTCCAGCCGTGCGGGAAGGCATACATGGGGATGTGATGTGAGGTGCTAGATAGCAGAGCAGAAAGTGGCATGGCACGGCACGGCATAGAGCACAGCTATGAGCGGTCTGCGCGCTGAGCACTGCCGGAGCGTTCTTGGCAAGGTCTCATTATTGTCCTTATCGCGGGACGGGGGACGGGGGGGGAGGGTCTGGGCTGGACTGGGCTGAGACTGACTTCATCCATGTACTGTACCTTGGGAGAGGCGAGTTCGGGTAGGCAGAAGCAGGTAGGTAGGTAGGTAGGTAGGTAGGTAGGCTTGGCTGGTCCCCTGCAGTCAGACGGCGTATAGGTTGGTGGCTTGCTGCACGTCTGCCTGAAGACTGCTCTTTCTCTTTTCACTTCGAAGCGAGCGATAGAATAGAAAATCTACAAACGGAGAAAGAAGAAAAACCTCTGGGTCTGATGTACTGGATCGAGGATGATCTGAGGCTGGCAGTGTGATGATAGCAGACATAGGAAATCATGACCTGCCATGGACTAGCTGGCAGGCGGTGTCACGGTCGTGGTGACGGCAGGGTGATGAACCGAATGATAGGTGAGGTGTCATTCAAATAAGGTGGAACCAGACGTCTCACCTGGTACAGATCAGTGAGACGGACAAGCAGCTTTCCCAGTCGCCCATCACATGGACGTGCATACACAGCAGTAGCATGTTTATTCTTCTGGTTCCTACCAGACGGTCCGTGGCTCCCAAGTCCCTTCCTCCTCGTGAAGGCCCAGGGGTATACGCGGAACCAAGACAAAGCAGGCAGCCCAAATTTGCGAGAGGGAGAGAGAAGAAAAAAATGACAGGAAATACAAAATTTGTCCAAGACGCCCCTAAATCGGCCAACGCGTGCCTGCAACTGCCAGTCGCCGTGGAAAGGCAGGTCACAGCATGTACCGCCGTGAATCTACCAATAATGAACCAGATCCCCAAGTCTAAGATTGTTTGCGAGCCCCGCTACCACGTATCACGAAAAGGGGGGGATAGATGTGACTGATCGTACTCCGAACATGTCACCAATGTCATCACACATGCGCTCCGCGCCAGACGGCTCAGAGCTCCTCGTCACCGTTGCACTGCTGCCAGATCTTGACGTGCTTGACCTCCAGCTCGGGCTTGGTCCATGTGGGCAGCCAAGTGTCACGGGCCTCCCAGAAGTCCTTCTTCGCGTTGGGAGAGCCGTTGAGCCAGGGCTTCTCGGACTTGCCGTCCTCGAACCAGCCGTTGCTACCACCAACTGCAAGGTTGATGATGAGGTAGAAGTACTGGTCAAAGGGTGTGTTGGAGCGTCCCGTCTCGGACCAAATGTCATTGAGACGGGTGCCGTTGGCATTGGCCTCGGGGAAGTTGCCGCGCTTCCACATGGGCTTGTCAAAGTTGGTGTACATGACTTGCAGCAGACGGCTGTTGACGTAGGTGAAGAGGTACTTCTGGGACCACTCGAGGCCAAACGTGTTGAAGCCATCCGCGTAGGTCGTCTTGAGGGCCTGACGCTTGTTGTTGGTGCGCCACCAGGCGTCGTTGGCCGGATCGGGCCCCCAGTGCAGCGCTGATGAGGCAATGTCGTTGCCGCCCTGGTCGTATTTCCAATCGTTGCCGCGGGATTCGAGGATATCAATCTCGCCGGACGCGGGCCAGGGTCCGTACGTGTCGCGCTCGAGGCATCATCCAGATGGCGGGCCACAGCCAGTCGCCCTTGGGAAGACGAGCAGTGACCTCGACACGGCCATACTTGATGCGAACGCCGCCCTTGGTGTGGATACGACCGGATTTGACAGGCTGGACAATGGTGGCGTTGCCCGAAGTTGTGTTGGTGGCAGTGATACAGTTGAAGGGCTTGTCCGACGTGCAGGTGCCATCCTCGAGCAGGTTGATCTCGGTGTCCTTCTCAATGAGGGCCGAGTCAGTGAGCTCGGGTCGGATGACGAGATGACCATCCTTGACGAAGACATTCTCGTCACCACCGGTGGTCCACTCGAATTGGCCATTGCTGGGGTGTGTGTTAGTACGCGTGCGAACCGGCATGGAGGATGGAGTCAAGTGAACATACCCGTAGCCGCCAACCTCGACCTCCTTGGTCCAGGTACTGGAGCTGAGGCCGCCGGCGAAGTCGTCGTCAAGCACGATACAGTACTTGTGCTTTATGACGCTGTTGATGCCGTCCCAGATGAGGAAGCCGGAGATGCCGAGACCGATCAGAATACCAATGATGGGGAGGATGGTGACCCATTTCTCCTTGGGGTGCGTCTTCTGGAGCCATGGCTTCTCGATGTCCTCCTTGCGGATTCTCCGGGAGTGGAAGTAACGCTGCGAGCGCTCATCGAACATGCCCGTGGCGCGGGCACTGGATGAGCCGTAGCTTGACGGGGGCCGAGAGTTGTTGGGACTCGCAAAGGGATTCGTGCTGGCACCGGTGGGAATGGCGGAGCGAACAGACGCCTGCGACTCGAGGCCATCGCCAAAGGGGTTGCGGCCGGCGTTGTCTGTGTTGGGGGTGCCAGGGCGGTATTGAGGCGTGGTGGCAGCAGTGGTCGCCGCTGAGGGAGCGGGACCACCGGTCACGGAGCGGCCGTAGTAGGCTTGCCCCTCGCGGGCGTAGTCGCCTTCACGATCCATTGTGTTTGGGTGGAGGAGAGATCGTCAGGGTCGGAAGGAGAGAAGGAGGGGTCGTGACGACGAGGGTCGACGACGAAGGTCGACGAGTGCACGTGCTGCGACTGTCGCAAAAAAAGATCCGACAGCACCACGGCGAGAGGAAGATTTGGTAGGTTGTCGACCTCGAAGGATTGGATTAGGTATTACTGTATAAAGAAGGCGAGAGAGGAATTGAGCAAGAACAGCGGGCAGAAGAGGTGGGATAAACGAATGGATATCTCGCCAGTGGCTGCTTCGGGGCGCGGGTTGGCCGAGCTGAGGATGCTGCTCTAGCTAGGTAGGTAGGTACTCTGTAGGAAGAGTGCTGGATCTGGGTGGTCCAATGTGTACCGTCCGAAACGTGTGGGAGGGCTGGAGGGCTGAAAGAGGGACGGCTGTGACGGCTCAGCAAGCAAAGAATGATGGCTCTGCAGTCGAGGGGGACGCAAGATGCAAGGTGCGACAGGCGAGCCGGGGGTGGCAGGTTGTTCGCCAGAGGTCAAGGTGGTGGTGGTGGTGGTGGTGTTCAAGATGGCCGAGCGGGAGCCACCTCAGCCGAACCAGACAGAGACACAGACGAGAGCCAGATCGGAGTAGGAGCAACCGACGTGGGAGGCGCGCACCTGTGAAAGACAGGACGCTAAACGCTAGACGCTACCTACTGTACATGTACGTACAGAGGGAGGGGGCCCTGTGGAGCCCGTACAATATCCTTGCCAAGCCTTCCGTCAAGCCGCCTTCTGGGGCGGATGAGGGGCTTCCACCCCCTGGAGCCCTGGCGGCCTTGGAACCCTCTGTGCTGAAGGCTAGCGCCAGTTCGCCGGTTACTCTGGTGGCGCGACGCCCTGACGTATCCCACGTATCATGCCAGTCATGCCAGTACTGCCACACAGACACTGTCATGTGCACTTCCCGCCGTCTGCCTGCTCTCCTTGTCAGCGGTGGCAGGCCAGGACGAGGCGAGAAGCAATGCAGTTCAGCTTGGTTGCTTCCGGCCGTGATAGTGAGCCACGCCAAGGCGATATCGATGCGGGTTGACCTTCTGGGCCGCGGCCTGCAAGTGGCGATGAATTGGAAACAATAGATAACCAATTCCGCCTCCCGCGTATCGCTTACGCTGAGCCTGACGGTGGTCGGCCCAGCGCCGTTCCCATGTCGATGCTCGACGGCGTGGGCCTTGCTTGGGGGCACCTAGGTGCCTTGAGTAAGGCACAATGGAGAACCCTATCCCTGACACGTCCGTATGGGATCTCGATGGACTTTTGTCGGGAAAAGACTTGTTCAGCGCGGATCAGTGATGGGAGCCCACCACCTCCTCTGGTGGCACCGGAAACCCAAGAGATCCAGACTGCTGGGTACAGTACACGACCAAGACAACGGACAGCTCGGAGAGGATCAGGGCCAAGAGACGGTCTGTCCGAGCATCCGTAATGAACGGCCCACTCCGTTCGGCGTAGCACCAGTGCGCGCGACGCAGAGCAGGAAGGCACGTTCAACGACCCCTTTCAAGGCTTCAGAGCAAGCGAAACCTTACACGGAAAAGCGGCGGCAAAAGCAGCAAGGACTGGGCAACCTTAGCTCGGCACACCGGTGGCAGCCGTCTCTTTCGACCTTCCCCATGTTCCTGCATGGAAGATTGGATGCCCCTGGTCTAGCGACGTCTGACCCTGGACGGCCCCGATCGGGACTAGATTCTCGTCTTGGTGCTTGTCGACGTTACGCTAACCCTTATGGGTAATGCGAGCCAAGCAGGAAGGCACTGCCCACCGCAATTTCCCCCGTCGAAGCTTCACGTGGTGATGGCGTCCAAGCCGTTCCTTGTCGTCTTTGACGAAACATGAACCAACTGACTCCATCGTTTGGTCGTCGAGCCACGTTCTCTTTCCGGTCTTCGTTCGACACCCAAAACGAGCTCACATGCTTCTTTCTTCTTGTCGCATCGCTTGTGGGCGTCTTTGCCAAGCGCTCAATCTGGCCGTTGGGGCGCGGCAGCTGAATGACTGTCCCGTGTCCTGTCACCCGTAGGCCCTGTGCCCTTTGCCCTCTGTCCTTTGCCCGCAGCTTTCCCAGAGGCGAGGCGGCGCTACACCTCCAGCCGAACCACCAGCCATCTTGTGCGAGCTCACCTTGGCCCGCCTCGTTGGCCTCATCGCTACCTGCCTGCTAGTGCCCTTCCTGCCGCACCAGCTCGCGGACCTTCCGGTCGATCATCTCTGCCGAAGCGGCCATGACAGGGTCCACTCGCGCCACGGTGTTGAGAATATCCCAGCATTGATAACGACTGGCCAACAACGAGCCCGGCAGATCGACATGTTCGTACCCAGGCAACATTGTTCTAGATGCGGCTGAAGGAGTAGCTACTGCCATTGTACTTGTCTCTGCGAGCTCTGGTCCTCGGACGGCAACACACGGCTGAGGGCACCACTTCGCCGAACGAATGGCTTCTCTGGCCGTATTTACCGAGCACAGGCACGTATGATGAGTATTGCGAGATGTGCACCGGCGTCGTGTAGATCGCAGCTTTACGGCCTGGATTCAGCGAACCAAATCGACTTTGTGCCTGAAGCTGAAGCTGGAGCTGGCGTCAATGGCGCTGCCCGCATCAGTTGAATCGATCATGGTGTGATCAGTGTTGCGTGACATCGGTTGCGCCTCTCCAGATAGCAAGCATAATGATATCACGGCGACGCGAGCACAACAACACGCCGAACAATGCAGCACAGCCTCCTGTCAGCCATGCATTCTTACCTGCACAATCTATCGAACGCTGATTGGCGCCAGATGCCTCCTTTTGGCCATCTTCGCCTGTCTTGCGCATATGTCGTCGGTGGGTTGTGGTTGCGATATTTCGTTGAGAGGTCGTCTGTGAGGGTGGGCGGCTCAAATCTCCTACTGGCTGACCGTATCTCACCGTTCACTGCGTCGGGCATCTGGACTCTGGCGACATGGTAGCAAGCAGGATGTGAACCGCAGGTGGCACCGTATCTCTGCATGCCTATTGGAGGCCAGACCAATGCAGCCTACAGTGTTATGCTTCTCTGGGGCCACACTCGCATCTCCTGGACCGAGGGCAGCATGGAACGCTTCTGCAGCATGATTAATATTGCTTCGTGCTGCGTTTGTCGCAGGCGCACTGCACGGGTTGATAGGGCTGCTTTTCAGCTGAGCACAACAGCCACGGCCCGTTCTGATCCAGATAGGGACCAACATCCCGAAGACCCTGAACGCCACCAGTTGTTACGTGGGGGGAGGGCACTGCTTTTCGACGACGAAGGTGCCGTCGTATCTCAGGCGGCCGCCCCTGGTGCCGGTGGCGGAACAGTCATTGAGCCAGGGCAAACACTTCCTGGTTGTCTACTGTATCATGCAACTCAGTCTCATCCCGTCTCCTCCTCAAACTATTGACACGGGAGGCTAGGCACACTCGATCCTGGTCGGTCAGGAACCTTGATAATCACAAAAGAA